CGAAGCACGCTTGCTCAAAGTGGACTTGAAGACCTTCAGTGAAATGCGTTGGCACAAAGGCCGTAACGATGTGCGGGAGCTCAGGTGCAAACGTGAGGATGGATCAGGAGCTGCTTTCCCTCCATTGTTCATAGAATTACAAGGAATCAAAGCCAACTGGACAGCACCCAACCAGACACTCCAAGTTCATTGTCATTGTCCCTGTCTCTGTCCAAGAATTATATTAGTCAATGCCTTCTTTGATGAACTAAGAATGTCATTAAAGGGCTTGCTTTGGTGCCTGGCATCAAATATACACTTGGTATACTGAATATACTTGGTATACCTTTGTTATCAGCAGTCAGGAAATAAGGAGGCATTGCACAGGGAAAATCTGCAGGTAGGGATCTCTCCAAATTACAGAGGAGTAATGATGTCAGTTTGAGGACAAAAGTGTATCTGATTCAGGCCATCGTCTTTCCAATTACTTGCTATGCATCTGAGAGCTGAGCAGTGAATGAGGATGACAGGGAAAGCATTGACAACTTGAGCTGTGGTGTTGGAGAAGAGCACTGAACATCCCACGGATGGCCAGGACAATAAACATATGTTTTGGAGAGGGTGTAGCCAGAGTGCTCTTTGGAGGCAGAAATGATGAGGCTGAAGCCACACATATTCTGGGCATGTTGCTAGGAGGGGCTGTTCCTTGAAGAGGGACATGATGTTGGGAAGGGGAGAGGGTTGACAAAGGAGAGGAAGACCTTCAGCCAGGTGGACTGACATGGTGACTGCCACAATGGGTGCTAGTGTGTCAGGAAGTGTGAGGATGGCGCAGGATTGTTCATAGAGTCACTAGGAGATGCACTTGACAGCACCTTACAACCACAACAATAAATGATAACCACTACAGTATTGGTTTTCTTACAGAGATTTTTTTTTTAAAGAGGAGGGGTTGCTTTGCTTTTTTACTTAGAGATTTTCTGCAAAAAATTCCCAATTAATATAATGAATCTGGTTCTATCATTACGTAGTTCATTCCCTATGATTGCACAGTCTATTTCCTATCATTTATAGCAGTCAAGCACAAATGAATGACTATTTTGTCAGAGATGCTAGGAAAGATTGCTACAGAAGTCCCAGGTATCGCATCCTACCTGAAAGAGCTTCCATGTATAATATAAAGGAGTCAGTCTCTATACTTTGGTTTGTGTGAGACTGAAATTAAATAATGTCTGGCACGTGGTTAAGAAATAAGTGGCTCACGGATATGTATTGTGGCAATATTTTTAATAAAATTTGAAATCCTCAAGTTTTTCATTAGGAGATAGTTTTGACAATGATATAATTATGTGGACATACACATGTGACAAAGAATGAAATTTTGGTTCCAAAAGTGTGAAGTGAAAAATGGAAAGTTCCAAACAGACTGTGAGACCATCTTTGATGGAGAAAAAACCGCATATATGTACACAGATGCATTACACTTTAGACACGCACAAACAGCTTTTTTTCCCCTTCAATTTTTATTATTTTGTATGTGTGTAAAATCAGATCTAACTGATACAGGAGGAGATTGTCCCTTCTTCTCCAGCAAAGCATCTGGTGGACAAACAGCTTTTAGAAGTAAATGAAATATGATTAATGCCAATTGTCTATGAGGAAGAAAACTGAGTGACAGGGTTTCCAGGAACAGGAGGTATGTTGTCTCTAAGCAGAATTTGAATTGTATGAATACATTAGCTATTCCAAAGGTTTTCTAAAGCCCCTGTTGTGGTTGTGTGCTGACTCACAGCTGCCCCGCTAGTGGGCTGCAGAGGCAGCAAGTCACAAGTGAGGAGCGTGCCCTCCTTCTGTGGAGCAGCTGGTGGATTCAAACTGCAGGCCTTTCAGATTACAGCACAAGTTTTTACCACTAAACCACCAGAGCTCCCTTAAAAAAAATAGACAGAAGGACAATTAAAATTATGAAATACAGAGGGCATGAATCCACTTACAAAGTCACTTCCAGAATTCACTCTTTCGTTCCCACCTCCTATGACATGAATGACTGTGTGAACTCAGAAATCACCACACTGGACCGTCACCGTTGCTCTCTCTCCCCAGGAGCGCCTTCTTTGAAGATGCCATACACATCTTTGATCACATTAATCTGACTCTTCATGATGCCAGCAAGTTAACCTATGATTTTGGCAAGGACTTCATTTATTCAACCAAAAAATGGCAAAGCAAGGGAGCTCTGGTGGCCTTGTGGTCTGGCACATGGTTTGAATCCACCAGATGCTGCGTTGGAGACGGATGGGCGATCTCATCCTCAACTGTGTTGGTTGGACCCAACCGGTGGTGCATGACAAGAAAAAGAAAAATGAAAAAGAAAATTTAAAAAATTACAAAGCAAATGTCAGGCACGGTCAAAACAGAGTAAAATCTTTGAAATTAGAAACTATTATCTCCATTTTACAGATGTATATATTGATTGAGGCAAAAGGATGTAATGGTCCCTAACTACATAAAACTATTAAACAACGGAGTTTAAGTTAAATCTAGTCTTCTGGATTCTAGATTCATGCTTTAAACCCATGTTCTCAAAGAATTAGAACTTCATTTCTAAATAAAACTATACTTAATCCAACTTTCCTGACAGTGCACATTTCTTGCTGATTTTCCCCCATAGGGAGTGTGCATATATATTTAATAATATGGTGCTGGTATTTTTTAAGTGAGTGGGTTTTTTATCCTGTGATCAGGACTGCATCTCTCAAGGGCACATGATTTGAATCCATTGACTGCTCCTCAGAAGAAAGATGGGCAATCTCCTTTCATGCAATTTACTCCCTCTGAAAATGCACTGGGGGGGGGGGTCAGCTATGGGTCAGTTCCAACTAAACAACACACAACAGCAGTGGAAAAGCCATTTGGGTGTCCATTCTAATAGTGTCTAGTTCTACAGTGCATTTAAGCCTTAGTTTTCCAACTAGAGATGAGAATATTGAAGTTAAGAGAGGTTTATGCCAATAACCCAGAACATTAATGCTAAAGAAATTATTTAAAGCTCAGAGCACTGTAATGTAACATTTGCAGCCATCATTTGAGAGTTATTGAATTGGAGCTTGTGTTTAATATTTATAAACACCATGTCAAATTGTGGGTTTTCTTTCATTCCCCTACAGGATTTCATCAAAGGTCTTTCCATTTTGCTCCGGGGGACAGTACAAGAAAAACTCAACTGGGCGTTTAATTTGTACGACATAAACAAAGATGGCTACATCACTAAAGAAGTAAGTACCACCCACCAGTACAACTATTCTTGGGGCTAGTTTGATTTTTTTCCCCCGCAAACTACTCCACAAATGTTTATTCATTTGAATTTCCTTTCTGAAAATAAAACAAAAATATTTTATGTGGTGGCAAGGAAAATAATTACAATAAAAATGTCGAATGCGGAAGGGTTTATAAAACAATGAAGGAATTTTTCTTTTACTTTTCCAAGAGGGTAGTGTACTGGGAGGGGGAGGGCTGGGAAGGGAAAAAAGTGCAACAATGAGGAATGGAAATCCAAAGTCTCTGTGAATTTTCATAGAAATTAATATATATATTTTAAAAAAGACCATGACTTGGATGAGCAGCACCTTATATTTTAAATGGAAAAAATATGTGGAATGGCTAGAAATGACTTAAAGTTCATGTTCAAAGCAAATACATGGTTATTTTGTTCCTTAACAAAATAAGGACTATGACTGTAATAAGGACTATGATTGGAATAAGGACTATGACTGGAATCACACGCGAGGAATATCTATCATGTCATGGTAGAACGTTTGGCCTGAAACTATGCTTCCATATATTACGTGGTCCATACGGAAACAGACATAATGTTACAAATAATGTAAAGGGCATGTAATTCAGCTGGAAATTACCTTGATGTAATTGTGAAAAAGTCCAGTGAAAAGACATGAGGATGAAGGTGGGAGGAAGAAGAGTAGAGTAGCCCAGACCATGAACATTTTATTGAAATAACTAGATGGAAGGATAATGTAGAATGAATGGTCATGTGTTATGTGTATTGTAATTTATGATGTGGAAAAGGATATACATGATTAAGTGACTAAATAAATTGGTAAGGAATGGTCTACCCCCTGATAGAAACTATCATTGAAGAGTGACAGGGATGGGAAGGGAAAGAGAGAGGAGCAGAGATCAGTGGTTAGACAGAGACAGTGAAGGTGTGGCAAGGTACAGAGATGATTTGATGAAAAGTAATAAATGGTAATGATCAATTGTCATTAATGTCCTAGAACAAGATATATATCAATTCTTTAATGAAGACAATTAAAAGATACAGCTTTAAAATAATAGGACTCAGACTAAGCAGACTTCTACAACAAATAAGGATGCTCAAATCACTCAGTTTATCAATAGAAAACCTATGACATATTCACACAATGGGTTACTATGCAGCACTGAAAAACAAGGAACTTGTAAAATATTATACCACATGGGTGACCCTGGAGGACATTATGCTGAATATCTCTATCACGAAAGGACAAATACTGCATCACATCATTGTTATAAAACAGAACTGACATGGGGGTTGAGGGAAAACTAAGAAAAAAAGAGATAAGTAATGAACACTGCATTGGAACAAATGAAGAAGTGTTTAAAAGGAAAGTATGATTAGGCATTATTTGTATAACAACAATCTATAATAAGAGGTGCATAGCAAAGGGGACAAGGGGAAGGAGGAAATTATGCAACAATGAATTTTTTTTAAATTTATTTCATGAACTGAGTAGGGGTAGGGAGGAAAATGTGCAACAACGAATGAATGAAAACCCAACTTTTCTGTAAACTTTTGTTAAAATCACAATTTAAAAAAATAGATGGGGAAGAAAGATGGAAGATATGGGCTAAATTAACACTCTGAACTGCAAGTAAGGTCAAAGTACCACAATGCATGAATCCAGGGCTGCACAAGATTCCAATGTTAAATCTTCTTGATTGCCTCATCAGCCTTGCCAAGTGATGAATTTTAAGCAAGAGGCAAATCGACAAAATACAGCCCCGGGGACTGCTTGGCTGGAAAGGTACAGGGGCAATTGCCCCAGCCACAGCTGTAGCCTGTCAGTGTGTCTGCTACACAAATACGGGTCTTACTTACTGCATTCCTTGGGCTGAAGATGCAAGAGGCCATCAGAGAAAGCAGGGGGTGACTTCTGACACATGAAATGTCTAGATGTATTTAGTATATCTGACATTTTTAGTGCTTGTTATATAATTAGTGAATGAACAGACACCTCAGGAACATGATGTGTTTCCTTAGTGCTTCTATCCCTTTGGAATAAGGACTATGATTGGAATCACACGGGAGGAATATCTATGTCATGGTAGTATGTTTGGCCTGAAACTATGCTTCTGCATATTATGTGGTTCATACGGAAACAGACATAATGCTACAAATAATGTATAGGGCATGTAGTTCAGTTGGAAATAACCTTGATGTAATTGTTTAATATAAATACACTCTACTATACTCACCACCAAAAGGCACTCAATAAAGAATCAGAAGATTGAGTGATGGGGGAGGAAATCGATCGATGTGCCTCCATCTATTTTACGAAGCCTCACGCGAGTGCCTCTGCTTTTCAGGAAATGCTCGACATCATGAAAGCCATATATGACATGATGGGTAAATGCACATACCCCGTCCTCAAAGAAGATGCTCCGAGACAACACGTGGAAACATTTTTCCAGGTGGGAGTTAAAACACAAATCAGAGCCGGAGTGAAATTGGGAGCAAATGATTCTGACATGGACAAAACAGTAATTCTATGAGACAAAAGAAATAATCATTATATGGGTCAAAATTTTAAAAACATTCCTTACCCTAATTTAATAACCATGGTCATAACTTAATTATAAGAGAGAGAACCACACCTGTGGAGCATGTAGTATAACTTGGTAGAATGCTATCTGGCAAGATATCGGTCATATTTCATATTTTTCCATTAAATTTTTTAAAAAATTATTTTTGTGTGTGCATGTATCATCAAATCAGATCTGACTGGTACAAGATCTTATCCCTCCTTTTCCATATGAGCATCTGGTGGATTTGAACCACACACCTCTGAGATTGCAGTGCAGTTTCTTGTCATTAGGCCACCAAAGCCCCCTAAAAAAAAAAAATCTAAAGCACCCTGTCAAGTTTATATATCCTTATTAGTTCCATTTTACAAATGAGAAGAACAAAGCTCTGAAAGTTTTGGTTCAGTGTCTGGGCTTTCACTGTTGGAATGCAGAGCTTTCCCAGAGCACAAGGGAACAGCTTACACAGAGGAATAAAAAACCCCACTAGATTGTGCTGTGAAGCCATTCCTCCCAGCAAAACCAGTCAGGCCTTCTCTTCACCAGCTGCTCCTCATTCCAGAAAGTACAAACCTGAGTGTTTCTGTCTTCCCTCCTGAACAGAAAATGGACAAAAATAAAGATGGGGTGGTTACCATAGATGAGTTCATCGAAAGCTGCCAAAAAGTAAGTATTGAAAGTAAACGTTTTTCTCTTCTTTTGCTTTCTAAACAGCTGGGCTGAGTATTTTCAGCGGTTGTGAGCTGCCTTGACTTACTTACCCCACACACAGCAAAATGGAACCAGCGTCACAGCTGCTGTGTGTCTGAAGGCCTGCCCAGCCTCGGTGGCATTGTAGTGGACAAGATTCTGTTGTGACACATAAGGTTTTCATTGGCTAATATTTTGGAAGTAAATCACCAGGGTTTTCTTCCAAAGCTTCTTGGTCTGAAAGCTCTGGGGAATCTGCCCCTCTTGGACAGCCCTCCTGGAACTGGAAGCACTGTTGCTATTGCTTTTAACATCACACCAGCCATCACAGTATGACAAACTGACACACAGATAGTGGTTTGCCAGCCAATGCTATGAACTGAGCATCAGAGCCCAGCTGAGACAAGCCTATTGTATTGTTAAGTGCCGTCAAGTCTGGCTTATAGCTGAACCTCTAGTGTAAGTCAGACAGGACAAGATGGCCATCTTTTTTTTTTTTTTCACCTAGGTGGATTTGAACCACCTGCCTTTGGGTTGAGAGAATGCAACTTCTTACCCACTAGGCAATGGCTGTACGAGCTCCCTTAGACAAGACCAGTGAAAACAGGCACTAATTCAGACTGAAGCAGTCGGCATTTACAGAGTGCCTATCCTGAAGCTGTGGTGGGGTAGTCAGGAGGGATTGGCATTAACCAAAGGCAGCACCTCCCCAGCAGTTCAAATCCATCAGATGCTCTGAGTGAGAAAGATGGGCAATCTCCTCCTGTGTGACTCAGCCTCCTGAAAATCCACTGGAAGGTCTGTTAAGACTTGGTTCCGACTCAAGGGCAGTTGAGTCAGTGACTCTGAAGCAGGCAATGCAGGAAGCCTCAGAGATACATAGTAAAACCTGTCCTGTCTGCTTTCCCCAAATCCCTAAGGCCGTGTCCATCACTGCAGATATGTGAATTCTCTTCCTAGATGTAGTATGTGACGTCTGCATGATCTCCACAGAATTTGAATTCCACTGTCATCTCCAGTTTCCAAGAGAAGCATCACTGCTTTCGTTTATGTGGATAAGAAATGGCTTTCTGGCTCAAACGAACAGTGGTCGTCAGCGTCACAGATTAGAGAAGAGCACTCTCTTACGGAGAAATAGAGCTTTATCCACCAGCTGGTGGGAAACCTTACTGAGGATTACGTGACTCAATATTCAAAGTTTTAAAATAGTCATGGAAGAAAATAGGGCTGTACTGGTTGTTTCAGCCTCCCTGAGGTCTGCTCCAGTTTTTCAGTTCATACTTACATGTACTGTTTTTATAAAAAAAAAATTAATTAGGTGGCATTAGCCTGCGTAATGTGTAAGACAGGTCTGGAAGCAGGAGTGGCACCCACTTTGTAAACAACATGCCTCTGGAAACTCTATGAACTTTTATAAATGTCGATAGTTACAGAAAGACTTCAGGCCTTTTGTTCGTAGGTTTGCTATGAGTCACATTCGACTCAAAGGCAATCAACAATGGTAATTCTACTTTATTTCTAACACTGGAAACCACTATTCATCTGCCACAATTTACTACTAACATAAATAATCCACTTGTTCTGTGCTGCTGAGTCTGCACTGACTCAAACCTGCCGAACCAGGGGGAACGACACAGTGACTGCAGGGATGGGCTCAAGTGTGTCAGAGATAATGAAGATGGCACAGGATGGGCCAGGGTCCTGTCCTGTTGTTTATCAGATTGCTATGAGTTGTACTTGACTCAACAGCACCTAATAACAATTTGCACAAGAAGAGATTGCCCATCTTTCTTCCTCAGAACAATTGGTGGATTCGAACCACGTGCCTTTGGGCTGGTGGCGCACCTTCTTACTCACCAAGTGCCACAAGGCTTGTTGTTATGTCATCTAGTCAACCACCATGGACAATAGGTGTGCATCTTCTTCTCTTCTGCACCATCCTCAGGATCCCAAGCACACTCAAAGCTCACTGCTGCAGCTCCTGTGTCAATCCATCTTGTCGACGTTCCTCCTCTCTTTCAATGACCTCTTGCCTTTCCCAGCATTCTTCTTCCCCCAAGGACTGGCCCGTCCTCGCAGCATGCTCAAGATACACAACACTAAGCATCTCCACCCGTGCCTCTAAGGAGCACTGTGGTTGCATTTCCCCCAACATCACAATTCAAAGCCATCAATTCCTCTTCGGCCCGCCTTGTTCATTTCCCAACTTTCAGAGGAATATCTGTGACACTGATGTGTCAAATGCAATAATGGTTACCCATGGTGGACAGTGTTTGGTGGAGCTCCCAAATTAAAACAAGCTTGGAAGCAGGAGTGACATCCACTTCCAAAATAGCTTGCTTCCAGAAACACTATGAACTTAGAGAAACGATGAAAGTTATACATGTTCAGGACTTTCGTTCACAGCGTCGCTATGAATCAGCTACAACTCAATGGCACGTAACAACACAGGAATATAAAACAATTGAAAATATCATGAGATGGATCAGGCACATTTAAGACTTTAAACAAGTGCCCCCATAATGCTCTAACACAATTCCCTGGGGTCAGTTTTTACGGCAAACTGCACAGCCCAGGGGCAATTCACTGGCTGCTCCTTATAAACCCTTTATCTGGTAAGCAGAAATTATTTCTTTTTTAAAAGCCCTGAGCTTAACAATGGTTCCATGACTTTAACTATGACTAAGCCACAGTAAGATAGGGAAAGGCGCTGCTCTGTTTTTCATTGGATTGTTTTAACTCATGGCTGATTAGGTAACAAGAATTCACACAAAAAGGAATGTTTTAGAGCGAATATGTGTCCTCTTTCAATGACACCACTTTTCCTCCTGTCCCTCAATATACAGTCTTCAGGAAGTGAAAGTTCAGAGATGCTCTACTTCTCCTTTATACTTATAAAAATCTCAATTATTTGACAGTTGTTCAACCTGAACAGTCAAAATTGGCCTTCTTATCTAATACCCCCTGCAGTCTCTATTCTGGCTTTATCATTTGAGAAATAATTGTCGTGAACTTTTGTTATTAATGTGAAGGTTCATAAATCGTATTGGTTTCTCAAAGACATTTTAATACCATTCATTACAAATGATTACAGAAACTCATGAATGACAATCTTTCGTTTCACAAAGCCACATTTAAGTAAATATGTAACACCTGGTCAACGCCAGGAAACACGAAAGGATCTCTGTGGTTATCCACGTGGAAAAAGGAGACCAGAGTATTTACACACACAAACAGGACCGGAGTTTCTGGCACAGATGACTGGCTGGGGAGGCAGGACTCGGGATTACTGGCCTTTTCCTTGCAGACATGCTCTAATAGTGTCTGTTTTTCCCTTACAGGATGAAAACATAATGCGCTCCATGCAGCTCTTTGAAAATGTGATTTAACTTGTCAAATAACACCGCAGTCCAACAGACAAATGTGAACTCTTCTCACACTTCAAGTTGGAGCTACCACTTCTAGCATAGATTACTCAGCTTTCCACTGAGGCACATTATGCAAACGAGCTTTGGTTTCACATAAAGCAATCCCCACGAGATTTGAGTTTTCCCTGTTACCAATCTGCATCCTTTTCATAAAGCCACCGAGTTCATGGGATGTTCTCCAAGTCATTTCATACCCTGTGAATATTTAAAAGGAATAGCACCTGGCATATGTTTTGGGTTGGTTTTTGATGTGTTTGGTTTTTTGTTTTTGTTTTTAATTCTTAGCAATGGGATTATTGAGGCTTTCACGATGCAATGTGATTTTAAAACAGCAGTGCTTTTTGCTACACATTATAAATAGAGTCAGCCCTGGGATTTTAGTTTCCTAAAATATTGGCATCTGCATTTAAGTTTGAGGAATTGATGTTCATAGATTTTAATCCCACTGACATACATTAAGTGAACAATGATGAATACAATTAAAATAACACACACATCTTCCCAGTTTTGATGGATTTGCTGCCTTCGGCCAAAGACTTTAATTCTACCTGGCATCTTTTAGGACATGGAGCAGTTTATCACTAGAAGCTTATGTCTAATAGTTATTGTTGTTGTTAAGTGTCATCGAGTCGTAGGCGACTCATAGCAACCCTATGAATGAAAGTCCTCAACACTTGTGTGACTTTCATCCTTTCTCCAGGTTCATAGAGTTTCAGGAGGCAAGCTATTTCGGAAGTGGATGCCACTCTTGCTTCCAATACATCTAATAAAGCGTATTTAATAAGTATTTATTTCTTACTTTCCACAAGGTATTTTACAGCCAAGGATTTCACTGTATCATTGTGGACTTTTTGATTAAAAAATAAATTGCAATGGAGTCAATTTTAACTCCTAATGATCCGAAAGGGCAAGGCAGAACTGTGTGCCATCAGGTCCCCTCACTGGCTGTCATCTTTTGAGAAGCAGATTGCCACACTTCTTTTTTTCCCCTCCCACAGAGCAGCTGGTGGGTTCAAACTGCTGACCTTTTGAATGGAACTGCAGTGTTTAAACCCTGCACCACCAGGCTATTTTATTAGTCCAAGAAGGCATAGCATAAAGCAAGGATGTTTACAAACATATGCAGAGCTAAGATGTGAGTCTTCTAGTCCATCTTAATACTTAATAGTAAATAATCTTTAATAGAAGAAAGGCCCTTTTCCACCACTTTCTCAAAGCATGCTTACGTTACAAGCAGTGTGGGATAAGGAAACCTTGACAGTCCCAATGCCTACGAAGACCATCTAGCAGAATTCCCATTGAAAGCATCAGTAATTCCATTATACAGAGAACTACAATACCCGAGTTAGTAGAAAACGAGTTCAACTGCTCACTCATCTGAACTGTATAATTTAGCTCATCCTCCAACAATTCAGATTCCTTTTAATGATCTTAAGCCGAGACTGTAAAGTTGCCCTTCAATACTGAAGATAACACCTACCTTCCCGGTTTGCTGAAATATCACAGAGTTTAAGAAGCTACAGGAGGAGGAGATTTGCAACTGTCTTTGCAACAATAAATCAGGTATCTATTCTGGTGTAGAGATAGGATGTTGAAAGCTGCCTGCTATCACCAGTGTAGAAATTAAGAGTAGTACAATACATGTACACTGAAATTTGCCATCGCGTATTTGTGTAAACTCAATGTGCACATTTTGTATTTCAGAAAAGAAAAATAAAAGCAAGTAAAATGTTTATAACTCTACTGTCTATGTTCTAGGTCTTTATTCTAACAATTATTGTTATTATGAGATGTAACATATTTCTCTTACGGCATTTTCCGGATGTTCTGTATCTTTGACACTGGATGCAGCTGCATGTGAAGAAATGGTGTGTCATAGACTGTGGGGTTGGCTCGAGGGTGGGGTCTTGGGGGCCATTGTTCACAAGGTCGCTGTGGGTCTTAGCTCAATGACACGAGGGAAGGGTAAGGGGCTGGCAGATCTTTTACCCAGTGTCACCTGTGACGTGACAGATGACATAAGGCCTGAGGACAGAGTGCTCCAAACAGGGAGTAAAGCTTTGAGGGTGAAAAAGCAATTGTGATTATTCTTCTTCAGAAATGACTCCTGTTCTTCCAAATTAGCACTGTGAGACTGCATCTGAAATAGAAACTGTACAGTGGTCATTCAAGCTATTTTAATGGTGCTTCCTTCCTGGATAGAGGAGCACTGTGCAGGTGTTAAGAGGGATTTCCTCAGGCCTGTCCTTCAAAATAATAATGGTCCCTTTTCATTTGGTTTAGCTACTCCAGTATGGCCAGATTCTGATTAGGTGTGTTTTCTGGTTTGAGGCTGAGACTAGAATGTGGCTGATGCTCGTAACAGGGTGTGAGCTGACTGGATTTGACCTCTGTTTAAAAAGGCTTATGGTCACCAGCCTGGGGCTATTTCCAGGGTGGGAAGATGAGTGGAATGGCGGGATTCTGCTAATGTGTGTTTTC